ATTTCTCGATTTATGCGTGTCATCCTTGCGCAGGGGCCATGCTAATCTTCTCTGTATCGTTCCAATTTTAACGGATGTCCCGAAACAATCTTTCATCATCAGTTTATCCTTTTCTTTTTTTTAAACAAAAAGCAGCAGTTTTATTATATAAAATCAATGAGGCTGGGAATCCCTCAACATCTCAACCCGGGTGGTGCTGGGGCCATTACCCAGTTTTGGCTTGAGCTGGAAACCGGGTCCACCGTCCCATCATCTGCTACTTCTTCAAAAAAATTCGAACTGGACGAAGAAAGGAAAATTGGAAATAGGAGAGCAAATAAAACGGACCAAGTAGCAGTTATTCTCCCTATACGCTACCTCTGGTAATCTTCCAACCTACATTTTGCCATGTAAGCCCTTTTTTTTTTTTTTTTTAATAATTAAAACATGCTCCAATCTACTCGTGGTATCTCCGGAAGTCTTAAGCCCTGAACCCTGTCTACCTATCTCTGGAAGGCTTAAACCCTGCACCCTGGCTACCCGCTTGTCATGCTATGTCCAGATTAACACTTGCTGCTTGTGAGCAAATCGGTGCCAGCGGGATTGATTGCTTCTCTGTGGTGTCCTCCTTGTCGGGTCCCTTCAATCCTCCGGATGAGCCTTGGTGTGTTGCCTTCGATGCAGCCCATCAGTTTTTTTTTTTTTTTTTTTTTTTTTGGACCATTTCTCAATTTATGCGTGTCATCCTTGCGCAGGGGCCATGCTAATCTTCTCTGTATCGTTCCAATTTTAACGGATGTCCTGAAGGACAGCCCATCAGTTTTTATATTTTTTGCTCTTGCCGTTTTTTGGGGACTTGTACTTTTTTTCTTGCTTGCCGGTCATTGTCCTTTCCCTGCTTTTTCTGCTTCTGTGTTGTGTGCTCTCCCGCCTCCCCATGCCCTCCAACCTATGTGTTGCCTTGCAGCCCTTGCTGCTTATTGCCTGTCTGTTCCTTTTCTGCTGCTTATTGTCGTTTCCCTGCCTTTAGACTCGACTCCACTCAGATGCATATTATCCTACTGAGGGGTTGTGATGGTATGGTGCGTGGTCTTTATCGTGCTGGGCTAGTCAAATATGTTTCACACACATCATCACACACACACACACACATACCCACACACACACACATATCCACACACACACACACACACACACACACACACACACACACACACACACACA